AATCTTCAGTAAAATCTTGCTTGCATGTGAAATCAGTGAGATTGTTTTGTAGTTTCCTCATTCTGTTGGGTTACCTTTCTTTGGGATAGGAACAAATATAGATCTCTTCTTCCCACTAGCATAGGTTAATCTGATAAAAGGACAAACAGAAACATGTAATATCATAAGAAATCATTTACTTTGGAAAAATTTCTGTATATTTGACATATTTTTAAATTATCATCTAGATCAACTGCAAGCTTTTTATATTCAACAACACAACACAATCCTGGATTGAAAGAGGCAGAGGAGTTTTAAGGTTGAACGACACGGCACGCAGTGAGTGTGGAACCCTACAGTCAAGACTAAGTAAGGAATTAAGCTCATTTTGTCAAGTAAGCCTCAATTTCTCATGGTCAAATTTCCAATATGGATATTCATCACTTTCTGGTGATGTGTCATAACCTACATCAGTAAATCAAACTGTTGAAAACACTGTTGTTTCTAATTGCATTTCCAACACAAAAGTAGCTGTTCGAATCCATCAACTGCTCCTTGGGAGAAAGATGGGCAATTTCCCTGTGATTTACTGCTTCTGGAACCCCTCTGGAGGGTCAGCTATGAATCGATTCCAACTTGATGGTACACAACAATAACAACAATATGCTACAGAGACTTTCCATTTAAAGTGAACTGTAACATCATGTTACAGAGTTCCTGTTCTAGCTCTATCATCTACTAACTGAAACCTTGGATAAATTATTTCATCTTTATTTCTGCCCTACACACACACTGCTGTCATGTAATTTCAAATCAGGTGACCCTCCATTGAGTTTCCAAGACGGTAAATCTTTAAAGGAAGAGACTGGCCATTTTTTTCCTCACAGAGTTGTTGGAGAGATTTGGATTGCTTTCCTTTTCATAAGCACAAAAGCACCAACATGTACAATATTATGCCACTGGGAGTTCTTCTCTTTGCCCTTGTTGTATAAATTTTAAATGGGAACATAAGGAATTCATGACTCATTGAATAAATATGAGAATTCACGAGCTAATGCATGTAATGACAGAGCCCAGAACATACCTAATCACTTATCTCGTTATCATTTAAAGGAATCTGATGCAAATTCTTTTGTCAACTGAACACATGCTACATACTGTATTTCTGACCTTTTAAATTCGGTATAGGAGTTGAGATAACAATCAGTTTCTATGGGGAAAAGTTGTACTGTGATTGAATTGTGTGGGCAAAGAGAGGGTGAAAAACAGAAGTAAATCAAATTGAAAGGCAAGGAGGCTTATCATCCAAAAATATTTGGGGAGCATTATTTAAAGGCCAACTAGGAAATGAGCACAGGCATATATCTGGATGGGGTGTCCATGGTTAGAGGGCAGTACA